TTGCTTAAGATTATGAAAAAAAAGGAAAATGGACAAAAAAGAGAAGGGCAGTTGGTGGTTTTCTGGAAGCCAGAGCAGTGGGTGTCCTGCTCTCATGTGAGGTCATCATGTGCTTGCACTCAACGTGATTTCATGGAGTTTGTCTCAAGTCCTACAAAAAAATTATACATCCTACCATGCTTAAAACAAAAGACATGTCCTATTTGGTGCTTATTTCAGTTATTTATTTTCAGGTTCTGCCTATTCCAACCTGTCTGGTTTAAAATGGTGTCCTTACACATCTATATCAGATGTTGCTTCTTGCCTTTCCTTAAAACGTAGTATTTAACCCTGAAAGTGCAAGAGCAACAGGGACTAACGTTCACTGACATTTGCTGTTTGGTCTGTGTGGAAAACACTTTGCTGTTGCAGTGGCAGATCTAAATGTGAAACCAGCTGCAGCAGATCCAGTGGATTGAGGTGAGATCCTGACAAGGACCTGGCTGCATTTGGGTTGCTGGACTGTAACCCTGTGTGGTCAGAAAATGAGTCTGCCACCTCTTGGTGTCCAAAAGTGGTGAGTGGTTGAGATCAGAGTACAGCTTCTGTAAGGCTGTGGGAGGTGAGTAGCTTCCATCATTCAAGGCAAGAACAGCACAGAGACATTTCCTAGGAGTGTAACTCTTGTTCAGTTAGACTTTTCAGTGATTTTTCAACTTCCTTCACATATTGCTTGAAAAAAATATTAGTGAAAAAACATCAGTCTTTTGTGAACATCTCTGAAACTGCCAACAACCCCCAAGCACTGTCTTGGCCAATGTGGAATAAAGTTTTAATGTTTTTTTTAAAGTTAATTCAAAAAACATGGAAATGAAAAATCCTATAAACTGACATTTGGGCTTCTTACCATGACCCACTTTTCCCTCCCTCCCTCCCTCTGTTTCAGAGGCTTTGTGTCTTTGATTCACAATACCTTAATTCTTATTTTAGTCACACTTGTTTAATTGCACATCTTTTCTAGGTGAGGTCTTGGAATTCTTGAAAAATTTGGCTTTATTTTAAAAAAAATTATCTTGTGTATTTTGTTAGTGGCTGTAAACTGCTTCCTGCATCTGTTTGGAGAGCATCAGGAACTGGCAGGCAGGGCTGTGTGTGTGCTGGTGGCTTTGCTGAGTGATTACCACCAACATCTGCAGGCTGCACTGCTCCCAGTGTGTGTGTGTAATCTTCCTCCTTCTGAGGGATATGGAGAGAAAACAATCACCCCAGTGGTTGCTATAGCATTCCATTAAGGAGCTTTTTCCAGCAAGCTGGGAGAGGCTCCTTTCCCTTGGCAGCCAGGCATGGATAAAAGAGCTCCTCTCAGCTCTTCTCCCAGTGTTATCAGATGCCCTTCAGCTCTCAGCTCCAGGCTGGCAGCTTGGCCTGGATTGCCATCCTTTGGAGAGTGTTCTTTCCCCAGTGGCTCTGCTTCTTCCCCACCACACCCGGACTGAAGGGCTGCCTCACAACTGCCTTGCTCAAAGCAAGCTGGCTGGAACCTCCAAGGGTCTGTAAATACTGTGACCTAGAAGTGCTCCTCAGTCTACTGGCCAAAATGTGTGAGCCTCCCAGGAAGAGTTCAGTTAAGACAGTCACAGAATTAGTAAGGAATTAATAGTTAAGGAATATATTTGTACTATAATGAATACCATGAGCATAAATGAGCTCTGAAGTATTTCCCTTTTGCATTCCTTTCTTCATGGGATCTCAAAAGCATTTAAGGAAAAACTGAATCCATTATATCCTGATAAGTATTTACTTTTATTACCACACTAAGAAATTGTTATATTGGAAGGATTTACACAAAAACTATCAGTGAATCAGTGCTGGGAAAGATACCCAGATTTTGTCCTATTTGTGTATGTAAATGGTTGTGTGTTTTTTCCTGCAAATATTTAGGCCTTGCTGAGTGTCTGCCATTTTTTCTTCATCACCTCAAAAGGTCCTTGTCCCTTTCACTGTCTGGTTTGACTTCTGTGACCAGCTCACAGGCTGAGGGTGTTGGTCAGTGTGGAGATGGTTCAGTTGTCCTCCTGCCTGGAGCTGTGCAGAGCTCAGCAGTTCCACCAGCCAGAATCCTGGGAAGAGCTTTGCTGGAGACCCACACACACCTCCTTGTTTCCTCTGTGTTTATGGAGATGTTTGATGTGGTGGTGGAGCTGGCCAGGGTGTGGTGGTTGAGTTTCAGATTTAAGTGGGAGACTAAACAGATCAGTTTTCTTCCTATTGCTCATTCACAGCAGTGCTGCTCCACTGAGATTAACAAAAAGTTAATACCTGCTGATCCTTTAAAGCTTTCTATATATAGGGTCTCTTGTTCCTTGTAGTCTTTTAGGATTTGAAGTACAGCTATTTTGGAAGGACTTCTTTCTGCTCCTCAGAACCCCTTATTTTAGCTTCGGATCTGGGTCTGAGTTCTGTAAAGCCCTGTTCAGAGGTTGCTGATGATGTCAGGCTAACTGGTAGGCAGGGAGTTGCCTGCAGGCTGCTGGGGCCACAAAATGTGGCTAATGACCCAGGAGCCTCTATTGGGCTGTGCCAGGCTGTCAGTGCTCTTCTCTTTACTCTTCTTGGGGTGTTTCTGCCCTCCTGGTCACACAGTGGTTTGTGTTCAGCTCCCAAGAGGTTGCCAGGAGGCTTAAGCTAATGTTTAAATAGTCTGGAGGTAAATGCTGTGGGAGTGACATTAGTGCTCTCTGGTTATGGGCACAGCCTGAGAACCTCCCTGTTGGTGGTGTGCACCAAGAACCAGTGCTGCCCTTGCTGAGCACCACGTGGCAACTGGATATGCAGGTGAAGGATTCTGTGACACTGCTCCAGCCTGCTCTGCAATGTGCATGAAATATTCAAGGCTGGCTACAACATATTTGTAGATCAGTTGCATGTTGTAGAAGTCATTCTTTCAATGTCTCTGCTCCAGTATGCAGAAGAGTTTTTTTAGCTTATGCTCAAGAGTGTAAACTTCCTATGGGAGTTTTCTGGACCTGAATCACTCTCAGGTGAAGGGTTTGGAAGCCCAAGTATTCTGGTCTCCATGTTGTCCTGCATTTGGGGCAGTGCCATCTCCAGAGTTGGCAGATGTTGGCAGATGTGATCCACTTGCCCAGGAGGACAGATGGGTATCTCCATGGAGGAGAGCATTGTTTGGTGTTTAACATGTCCTCCCTTGAGATGAACATTCCCAGTGCAAAGGTAGTGTTTCCATCCCAAATACAGGCATCTTGGAATAGCTGAAATTGCTTCAAGTAAATTCATTTGCCTGCTTTCTTCTGCCAGACCTTCTGTGCTGGAGAGCAGGGCTGCTGCTGCTGGACCACAGTCAGCTGCAGGAATGGGTCAGGCAGGAGATGGATGGACATCAGCAGAGACCTTCAGGATGTCTTAGAAAGACCAATGTGGTTCCACCTGAACTTAGGAGGGCTGTGGAGCCTGTCTCTTATCCATCTGCAAGTGCAAGGTTTGAGAGAAAAGCCAGATAAATTATTCTCCTCTTTAGAAGCTGTTAAAGCAATGAAGCTGCTGCTCCTCTGAGTTCTGTGTATTCCTCGTGAGTTCTAATTCTGGTATCACTGAACTCTGGATGACAGGAGTGTGAATTGTCATTACCTGGCTGCTGCTTGGAGCATGAGATCCCAGCATTAAAATTCTGTGGCTGCAGTTCCTCACCTGGACAGCTGCAGGGTCTCTTTGCACTGCAGACCTTGTACAATTCATCTTTTGTTGTTGTTGTTGCCTGGTATTAATAAAAATAACTATCTCTGCTTCTGGACTTGAAGCATGAGCATCCCTCTAGGATATTTTCTAAATGACCAAAGAACAGTTGGGATAATACACAAAATTTAGTTTAAAAGGGGGAAATGTTCAGTAAAGGCAGGCCAGTAGACCTGTGGCAAAAATAAATATTTTTTTGGTGAGAGTTAATGGTATTCAGGCAGGATTTTACTTTGAAATCAGGTAGTCTGTTTCTGACTTGGGATTTATTTATAGAGAATGTGAAATGCCCCTGATGTATGTCTGCCTTTCCAGAGAGACATTATTTTTGTCATTTAAATATTCATTATTTCTGTAGCAGATACCTTCAGTACTTAAATCATAATAATTGTGAACAGAAGGGATCTCTGACTGAGCTAACCTGACTTATAAAGTAAAATCTGTAAAGGTATTTTCAAATCCTGATGCATTTTAAATCCTGAGGCATTGAGGGATTTGCCACATCTCTCCCCTAAAGGAAGACATTAAGGACCAAGATTTAAATGTAAACATTGTGACATTCTGCTCTCTGAATTACTAAGGAATTACTGACAAATAACTGTAAATGGCAGAATTCTCACCTGAGGTGTGGTCTGGGGAGGGGATGTCCTTGCTGTGGTTGGGGTGGGTGGCAGGGCTTACAGCCAGAAATGCCCCCAGGAGACCTGTGCTGTGTCCCTTGGGGTGTGAGGGCTGTTGTGGGTGCACATGTGCAGTGCCACCCATATGCAGGGTGCCCAGAAGCAGAGTAACTCAAGGTATTTTCAACAGCCTCCTTAAATCTGGGGGCTATTAATAGTGTTTGACATAGTTTTTTTCTAGAAACATAGTGAAGGGGTGATCTTTGACTTCCTTTGGGGTAAGTGATAAGAGTGTGTTCTAGGAAGGGTGGAACTCAGGTTTTGTTCAGAGCCCTGGGGACATCAGCTCCATTGAACAACTGTTCTTCACCCATCTTTGAAACTAAGAGCTCTGGCTTGAGCAGGGTAATTGTGAGGGAGAGGGAGGAGAAGGGAAAGCACTAAGGAAACATCTTGGTGTACTTTTAGTGTTGTGACAGAACTGGAATGTCTCTTGTTAAGGAGTAGTTTAATCACAAATAAGTGCTTACCTGAATTGTGTGAGTTTTGGTCCTTGCAAATGGTGAGTCCTGCTTCTCCCACTAAGGTGCTGGATATCTACAGAGCTGACAAATAAGCTCAATTAATTGGTTTGTTTGTTTTCCTCAGGCAAAATACATCTCCCAGTGCATCGATGAGATCAAGCAGGAGCTAAAGCAGGACAACATTGCTGTGAAAGCAAATGCAGTCTGCAAACTGACCTACGTAAGTGCTGTGCTGGGATACGATGGAATCACAGGTTAATTCTTTTCACTCTTGCCACCCAGGGGCTGAGCTGTGCTCTGAGCTGAGTTCTGCCTTCCTGAGACTGCCCAAGTGCAGGCTGAAGCTGAAAGTGCTCCTGCAGCTGTCTGACGTCAGAGCCTGCACGTTCCCATTCTGTTCATTGTCATGGCACCAGGATTGGTACAATTTTATTTGATTGCAATAGGTCAGGAAGCTAAATCTGATTTGAAAATGAAGCCAGTTTTCAAAAGTTGTTTTCAGCTGGCTTCTTTCTTATCACACAGTTGCATGAGCACTGGTGTTTGTTTCTCTTTGTGTGGTCCTTTGTTGGGAAGGAGAGGAGGGAAATAACTGTTAAATTATCTTTGTGGTTCTATTCTAGTTTTTATTTTAAAAAATCAGGGAAAAAAACCCTTCACAGTGATGCTTTTGTAACTGCATATGTGTTACTTGGTATGAATACAAACTACTGAAACTTGCTGCTGGGGGAACTTGGAGACTTTTTCTTACTGCAAGTAGCATAGATGTACCATTACTCACAAGGTTCAGATTATAGTATTATTTTTGGACTCTTCAATTTTGTGATGTATCCTGACCTATTTTCTCAAGTCTCTTATTCCAGAAGTTTATCTTGGCTTCTCTGCTCACAGTTACAGATGCTGGGCTATGACATCAGTTGGGCTGCTTTCAATATTATTGAAGTCATGAGTGCATCGAAGTTTACATTCAAAGTGAGTTCTGTGTTCTGCACTGGCACCAGCCAGGCTCTTTTCTTGCTCTGTCTCATGAAATGTGGTGGTGCATTGTAGTTTGGTCTGTTTACTTCAATACAGAAAGAAAGTAGACTTTACTGTTTTCATAGAATCACAGAATGGTTTGGGTTGGGAGGAATCTCCCAAGATCATCTAGTCCACCCCCCTGCCATGGGCAGGCACACCTCCCCCTAGACCAGGTTTCTGAAAGCCCCATCAAACCTGGCCTTGAACACCTCCAGTGATGGAACATCCAGTCTCCCTGGGCAACCTGGTGTCTCCCAACCCTCAGAGTGAAGAACTTCCTAATTTCTGACCAAAATCTCTCCAGTTTAATGCCATTACCCCTTTTCCTGTCACTACACGTCCTTGCAAAAAGTCCCTCCCCAGCTTTCTTGTGGGCCCCCTTCAGATACTGGAAGGCTGCAATAAGATCTCCCTAGACTTTATAGGTTTTTATTATATATAGATAACACTTGCCCTGCTAGTATAGGCTTTC